ACATGGACACAGGGAGGAGAGCACTACACACTGGGGTCAGTTGGGGGGAAATAGGGGAGGTACTGTGGGGGGTGGGGAGTTGGGGAGAGATAGCAAGGGGAGAGATGCCAGATGTAGGTGATGGGGAGGAAGGCAGCAAATCACACTGCCACGTGTGTACCTATGCAATAATCTTGCATGTTCTTCACATGTACCCCAAAACCTAAAATGCAATAAAATAAATAAATGGAATAAAGAAAAAAAAAGAAACAGGGTCTTACTATGTGGCCCACATTGGAGTGCAGTGGTATGATCATAGTTCACTGTAACCTACAAATCCTCGCTTCAAGTAGTTCTCCCACCTCAACCTCCCAGCATGCTGGGATTACGGGCATGAGCCACTGCTCAGCCTTGAATTGGAGTTTTTGACATTCCATCCCAGTTTCTGAATGAGTCCCATCTTGGTGATGTCTCCAGCAAGCTTTTTTTTTTTTTTTTTTTTTGAGGGCCTTGATTCAGCACAGCTCTAGATGTATTGGCCCATTGGGTAATTTAAATATTTATATTCCCGTGATAATGTGAACTACTGAGTAAATAAATAATAAGTTTTTTTAAAGGCTTCCTGTGTGCCAGGTTCTAGGGTAGGCACTTTATATGTACTAACTCATTTAGTTCTCATAACAAGCCTATGAGGTACTATAAAACCCTCATTTTGGCCAGGCACAGTGGCTTATGCCTGTAATCCCAGCACTTTGGAAGGCCAAGGCAGGCAGATCTCTTGAGTCCAGGAGTTTGAGAACAGCCTGACCAATATGGTGAAACCCCGTCTCTACTAAAAATACAAAAATTAGCCAGGGGTGGTGGCATGTGCCTGCAGTCCCAGCTACTTGGCTGGTTGAGACAGTAGAATCCCTTGAACCTGGGAGGCAGAGGTTGCAGTGAACGGACATCATGCCACTGCACTCCAGCTTGGGCAACAGAGCAAGACTCTGTCAAACTAAAAAGAAAAAAAAAAAAAAACTCATTTTACAGACAACAAAACCAAGACATTGAGGATTTAAGTAGCTTGCCCAAAACCACACACAATGTCTTAGTGGCTGAGCCAACCAGACATGAAGAAAGGCTAAAATAAAAGATTTCAACTCTAAATCAGCTACATGTGCTACAACCCAATTATGTTGCTAACACACTGTTGTGGGGGCTTAATCTCCATGACCTTATTTATAAAACACTCCCATGTGAAGGCACCAAGCTGGCATGCCAGACATGGTTACCTGTGTGCACTGCGTTTCAAAAAACCTTGCTGCTGGCCCAATCCAGAACCTCACCATCTCACACCGCAGGTCATGCACGAAATACCCCTTCTCCAGTTTTCCTCCCACAAATAATCCATCTTGTTCAAAACACACCATGTCACTTCCCTATCCAAAAATGTTTTTTCCCTCCCTCCTTCCACATCCAACCTAAACTCCTCTGACTAGCATTCAACCTTATCATTTCCCACCATTCACCTTCACTGTGGTCTGCAGTCTCCTCATTAGACTGTGAACATGCTGTGCTCATTTCTGACTCTCTGCCTTGGCTCCTGTTTATTCACTGACCTGAAATCCCTACCTTGCTGACTTGCTGACCTCTCACTAACCCCTCTCCATTGAACAAGCCTCGGTCAAGTTTCTGCCTCCTCCAGAAGCCTCCTCTGATTGCTTCTGCTGCTGTGGACACACGTGTGCCCCCACCCTCACCTCCCCCTCCCTAAAGGCCTGCAGCACCTGGCTTTCTCTTTAATGACATACATTCTTGTGTCTTGTATGATTGCTTACTGGCTATAAATCCTGTCTCTCCAACCACAATGTGGGTCCTTAAGCAAGGATCACCTCCTTAGCCCCCTTCGCCTGCTGCCAAGTGTTATGCTCACAGCAGGCACTAAATACTCTGATTAATCTGCACACGATCATAAAAGCCCACATAGATCACTAGAAATTGTCAGCTGATATTTACAAAAGTCCTATAAAGTTTATGGTAGCACACT